CCCAAACAAAACAAATCATGTAAGTGAATCCTTTGAGAAAGTGTTTAACACTACTCTTTGTGAGTAGCTTAACCTTAAAGCACATAAAATTTGTGATCTCACGACGTACGTAATTGTCAAAATCATTTTCCAAATCCTTCCAACAGCAAGTATCATCCTCTTACTCTCTCTTTTCATAACATATATCAATTTTTTCTTACTTGAACACTATCGATCATAAGCATACACACACATCCTCACTTCTATTTCTTTATACGAAGTACTTCGTATGTGTCAATTGTAATTATTCTTAGGAAGACAATAATTTAAGGACATAGATAGCAATAAGATTAGTTTCAATCAAATTAAGTGGTTGGTTGGTGTAATTTTGCCACTAATTTTGCCCTTTGCGTCTAAAAAATGGAACCGACTATTGGCAATAAAAAGTAAGTATACTTTGGCTTATTTAATTGATTAATAACATATATACGTAGTACGAGTATATATTAGAGTACACTCCACATTATTAATAAAATAGTATTCTCGCTAATTAATTTAAGCTGTGGTTATTATATGATATCTTGATCATATGGTAGATGAAGTTGACACGGTGGTGGAGACAGTTGAAACAGTGGTAGAGACCGTTGAAATGGTGGCTGAGGAGGTGGCTCATGTGGCACATCAACTTCCACAAGATGGAAAATTGCATGATATTGTTTGTAATGTAGCAAATGTGGCGGAGGAAACCGCAAAAGATGCCCACTTCGTAGATCATTGAAAAGGTAAGAATTTTGACCCCTTTCCCATCAATGTGTAAAAAGAGCCGCAAAAAGCCAATAATGTATACAAGATTTGATCTTCATTTTTAACACTTTAATCAATTAACTACAAGTCAAAATTCTAGATAGACTAAATAGTTAGCTTGCTTTCCCTAGCAGTGTTTCATAACGTACTATCTAAGGAATGGTTCAGATTTGACTTACTAGTATGTGTTCATCCAATCATCCATGACTAATTAAATGACAAATTGATCCTCTATTTTGTCTACAATACGTTTAAATTAATCATTAATCATATACTATAACTTTTTTTAAAAAAAAGTTTAATTATTTATGAAGAATTTGTTGCTCTCTTATCTATTATGCAGGTAAGGAGTAGAATCTGCATTTGTGGGTGAAGTAGCACACGATGATGAAGTTATTAAGGGTGATATACAATCTGAGAAGAAACTATTGGAGCAAAATAATGACATGAACATGGAAGTGATGCCACAAGATAAAATTGTCGATGATCAAACTAAATAATTTATCTATTCATTATTATGATTTGTACACTTGAATGTTGTTTTATGCACTAATTTATTTTACTACTAGTGGAAGCCCGTGCGATGCGCGATTTTTTCATCTAAGATTTTAAGTGAACTTGTGCATGGTAATATTCTCATCTTCATAAATTATTAGAATAAACTAGTCTTTACCGATCTAATACAAGTATAATTAATGATAATAGTAAGGTCTTGTTCTTTTGAGTTGTTCTGCTCTGCTGAAATCTGCTCTGCTCTGTTCTTCTGAAATCTGCTATGCCCTGCTCTGCTTAAAAATAATAATTAATATTTAATAAAATTAACAATAATTATTATTAATATTTAATAATAATAACTAATATTTATAGATAATAATAATTAATTAATATTTAATAATAATAATTGATATATAATATTAATTGATAATAATAACTAATATATAATGATAATAATTAATATTTTATATTATTTAACACATTTTATTATGTTATAAAAAGAGTAAAAAAAATCTTACAAAAAATCAAAGAATAATAATAATAAATAAATAAATAATGATAATAATGCCATAATAATAATGCCATAATAATAATAATAATAATAATAATAATAGTATTAGTAGTAATACTACTACTACTACTACTACTACTACTAATAATAATAATAATAATAATAATAATAATGAAATCTGCTCTGCCTCTACTCTGCTAAAATCTGCTCTGCTCTGTCATGCCCTGCCTTGCCCAGTCCTACCTTGCTCTGCTCTGTCTAGAAACTCAAAAGAATAGGGCCTAAGAATTACATCTCTTAATCTTTAGGTTGGGAGTTCAATTCCATTAGGAATAGCTTGAGGGAAAGGATCCCTTATTACTCTCCCTTACCTCCCCCCCCCCCCCCGCCCTTCTCTCTCTCTCTCTCTCTAAGGGCCTATTTCACTAGAAAGTTGATCCATAGAATTGTGATCCAACAGCGTTGTTGTTTCCTTGTTTACTAAATTTTATAAGAAATTACTTCGTACAAACATCTATCACAAATTGATGTGTAATGGAACTTGAAACGAATTGTTCACTAGGATATCCGTATATTTATAATTTTATTATAAAGTTGATTATTATAAGTAGGTTTGTCATGCCAAATCAGGTTCGAGTAAAAATGTGGGCTATTAGGGCTAAAGGGAGGTATGGGTTAGGGCAAATGATAAACTAGAATAATATAAGTCAAATGATGAATGTTGGATCCATAACCAAATGTTAGTGTCTCGGTAACATTAAATTTTGATGTCTATGGTAAACTTACATACTCTTATTTAATTAGTCAATGAATATACGCTCAAATTCACATGTCAACGTTAGTTAGCCTGTAAAGATTAGGGGCGGAACATCATTTGGGCCGGTGGGGCCGGGGCTGCGCCCCCTGACCAATTTTTAATTTTTCTGTAAAAATAATAAGTTAAAAATTGTTAATTTTTGCTTAAAATATGTTAATTTATATATTCGACCCCCTTTAAAAGTACAAAATTTTATTATAGCCCCTTTAATATATATTTCTAGTTCTGCCTTGGTAAGATGATTGTGAAACATATGTCGTGTTGAGCCCATCTTTTTTGGGCCTATTTATAAGGTTCAACTTGTGAATTACCCACTAGCTATACATATACGTGTCGATCAACATTTTCAAGAGGGAAGCCCCGGCATGATCTAAGCTCTAGTGCAACCATATTGTAGATTTGTAGTAGCCTTGATCATACTCCATATTTCACTTATCATTAATTGTGTCATACTTATGTGCATAAGCCAAATTTTCATTTACATGTATTGTTTTAGCTTGTTTGTACGTGTTAGGTTGTGCTGTGTCTTGTCATACTCATATTTAAATATGGTATAAGCCAAGTCATTGCCATCTTTGTTAGCTCTTTCCTTAGATTAGCTATTGAAAAAATTAATTTAGTGAAACAATATTGCTTGTTAAAGGTATTGTATGTGAAAACATAGTGATTTAACTTTATAATCTCTTGTTTACAAGATATTACAATACAATACTTCGTAGTATACAACCATGCATCAGTTGAGCTTAAATCTCAAATATTTTATTTTTAATGAATTTTTTGAGCTTAAATCCAATATTGTTCCATTAAAAAATACGAAGTACAAGCTATGAAGACAAATTGAAGTCGTCAAACTGGGGCCACAACACAACCGACCTATAAAAGAGGACTTGATCATAATTAGGAAATTACTTAATTAGTGGCTACTTATCCATCATCATAATTATTTTTTCTAAAAAATTGGTATCAAAATATCATATTTATGCAATCGAATCAAAATCTCTTACCAGATGCATGCATGAAATTAAGATGATTCGATTTAGATGAGGTTGGGTGATGGAGAAATAATTTGCATGTGGAAGCAACAATTTAAGAAGAAAAAAATTGCATTGCATTTTCTATGTCTTATATATTATATTTATAAATGTTTATGATATATGCAAATGGACAAATGGCTAAATATGAGCCCAAGATGTCCTCAAAATTATATTACATGTACTCATGTAGTACTCGTATTATCTTATCCCTAATAAATACTCAGTAGTATACATCAGTGTTATTAATGTTAAATATTACTCCGTACAAATAGATTAATATTTTTATTTTTAACTATATAATAAGATCCTATATATTATTTTTCAAATACTCTGCATTATCTTATCCCAAATAAATAGTTGAAGAAAGGAAACATTAAAATTTGATACGATACGCTACAATTATTAAAGATTAGCATCTTGAATAAGGACTATATGGAATATGGATAATGGAATTTGATTGTTTCAAATTATTCAAAGCATGAGAGTTGACCTTAGGTAGACTTGACCATTCCTTTTCAATCCCTTTCTATATATGCTAATACTATGAGAGGATTCGCACCTTCTATTTTTTTCACCTCATCCTATTTTTTCTCACCAAATTTTAACTGAAAAGTTTACTTGAATATCCAGCATCTTTTTGTTAACAATTATTTTTAGCAACTAGCAATGTCCAAATATAACTCATTATTTGTTGCTCAATTGGTACTTTCCCCTAAAATGTGAGAAATTATAGCAAATAAACATGTTATCCTCCATGAATCATGCAAGTGGAGTAGTCGAGACCCTTTAGTTCATCTGCATTGAGTGTTTACTCCCTCTACCTCTTAAAAATAACTCCATCTCTACTTACATAAAATTATTTTTCCGAATAAAATAACAGAATGATTTAAAAGAAGAATAAGAGGTGAATAAACTCGGTAATTCATATTCTATAGGTTAACCTTTTTCCGAGCAACCCACCCTTAATTTTTGTCCAAAAATAATTAAAATGCTTAATTCCTTTCTTTTTCCTACAATTCATATTTAGGAGAATCTTTCAATATTAAAAGTAAGAAAAGTTGTAACGTTTTGTCAATGCTATAGCATCCCACACACGCAAGAAAAGCATTTCCCCTCCGCAAACATTTTAAAAATAAATTAACATCCCACCATTTCTTGAGGTATCCACTTCCCTCTCAACCACCCTTTTAACTTAAAACTTGATCAACATAAAACAAATTAAAAAACCTAAAGATTAGACAAAAATAAGTCTCTCTTTCTTCTACGCCTCAAACTAACAAATTTCTCTCCTTTGTGTAAAAATCTAGGATGACCAAAACTTCATTCATACCTTAACTGACCTTAGAAAGGAACCACTCTAATGGCTAACTGGGCTGGGGCGACGCCGAAGAACCAACAGATGTTTAATGTAAAAGGGTTTGATGAGAATGATTTGATGATGGGAGTTATGTTGTCACAAAAACCAGGAAATGATCTTATTCAAAACTGTGATCTGCCACCCCCTACAAAAGTCTTTTCAGGGTTACCTGACAATGTAACAGTAATCAGTCCTATGAAAAGAAAAAAAGTGCAGAACTTTGTGGGTGATCATGATCATGGGGATGAATTTGATGTTGGGGATAGAAAAATGGGGCTTCTGAAGGCACTAAGGTTGTCTCAGACACGAGCACGCGAAGCAGAAGCTAAGTATGCCGCGATGACTAAGGAGAGAGATGCGCTTGCCTGTGCTGTCGTGCAAGATTCGATGCAGATTTTTGCTTACAGACAGTTTGTGACGTTGCTTGAATTTCAAGTATCTCAACTTCAGCAACAGCAAAAACAGCAACAGCAGCAGCAAGTCTTCTGTGATCAAGGGAAGCGAAAACAGGGCGACGAAGGTGGTGATGGAAGTGGAAGTAATGGGTTAACATTGTTGATAACTATGGCTTTCTGTTTGGGTATAGCTGGGGTTGGATTTGCAGTTGGTTGCAAATATTTTTACTCTTATTAGGTTTTTTTTTTTTGGAAACTAACTTGGGTTTACATTTTCTGATTCTGATGGATTGTAAAGTTGTAATTGGTTTAAATTATAATAGTAACCTATGAAATTTCTCTTTTCCGCAAGTATGAACTCAAATTTGAGTGTAAATTCTATGGTACAGGCTAATATGTGTCAAAAACTGACATTCTGATAGTTTAGACTCCAGAAGTCCAGAATTACTTGCCATTAGATATTATAAGGCAACATTTATTTTACCTATCTTTAATTAAATAGCCAACATTTTCACACATATTTACAAAATTACAAGCCTTTTTCATCTAACTACTCAAGGTACAAAATTACAGAAAACCAAACATTTTAAAATTTTACACAATTATGTTCTTACACTCATATTCACAAATATATTCCACAAATATAATTGTATAACAAACCAAATCATACCAATGTTTCATCATCATCATCGAATTATTTTAGGATGGTGAGACTCTGTTTTCAGTACACAGTAAGTGCAATATAACATTATTTGAATTACAGTCAAGATGTGAGGTTTATCATATTCTACCACCTCATACAGGTTCACCTACAGTTCTCTCTGACCTTACCGTTACAGGTGGCCGTGCGGCCGTGCCATAGTTGATGAGAATTTCACCTGAATGATAATAGAATTGTACGAAGTACTAATTTACAGTTGCAATTCTGGTAAAGATATCCTTTTTGCATTATCCCCCAAAAGTTCTTACTGTATCTGTTTCACACCAAAAATAATTGGAGGTGTAGCGAAAACACTCAATTCAGTCAGGAGTTAAAATCTAGAAAATGGTACCCGAGTGACTTTATAAGGAGAATAAGAAAGGGGGGAAGTCATAGAAAGCCACATACATGCATCAAACCTGCCACGAGCACTATATGTACTCTCGGTACTCCGTATATATATAACATCATTACCACACTCACGATATATACAGAGGGATCACTAAAGTTAGTTGTAGACTGTAGTCGAAGCTATACATGGGATTGTGGAAATGTACAATGAGCTAAACTAAACAAAGCCAGTTATATACATGACATCTAATGGTTAGGATCAAGAAAATACCACTTTCATGTAATCCCGTGATGTATGGCCCTCAAATGGTTATAACACTCATCACTATCAGCAAAGTACTCCAAACAAACCCAACACAAATGCTTCCCACATTTACATTCAACGTGGTTGCATCCCTCGGACTTCTCAATGGTATGGCCACAAATCGGACACCTCTTAACGTACTCCTCCTTACCACTCCACCACTCTCTTAGAGATGAATCTGGATCTTCCTTGAACTCTTTGTACTTTTCACATGATAAGTAAGGATGGTACTCCAAATGACATCGAGTACAAGTCTCTGCATAGCAAGCCCCACACACAAAAGGCTCCCCTGTCTTTCCTGGACCATCAGTCTGATAAACAGAAGGACAATCAGGTGAAGGGCAAAATTTGAATTTACCATAACTACATGCTACAAATGCTCGCAATGAAGCCATAAAAAGCTCATCCAGCTTTTCAAATGACAAAAGAGATTTCAAATCAACAAGCCAAAAAGGGACGCCACAACCTTCATGGGCACAACAGATAGGGAAGCTATCTATGTTTTTTATTGCAGACTCACATTGTTCCACTAAGCATGATCTGCAGAACACATGCATGCAGCTCTCAAGCTGATATGCATCCTCCAGTTCACACAAACAAATCGAGCATGCCTTTTCACTACAAGCATTAGGCTCTCTTGAACTACCACTAACTAGTGCTATCTCGTTAACAATCTCCTCTACCTTTTGCTTTGCCTCTTTAGTACCACAAATGGAAATGACATGACGGCGTGTATTAAGGGTGAACTCAGTTTCAGGTACCTTCTCCTTCAGCCCATGCAGGTCTGGGCCAAACCTCTTGACAACTTCCTTCATCAAGTCATGCGGCAGTTCAACTCCACGTAGATGGATCTCTAAGTGCTTATTCATTTGGAGATTGAGAAGGCACTGAACAAACTGCTCCTCTGCAACAACAACCTTAGCAGAAGGCCCAATCATTCTCACATTAAGAGACTGCCTGTCAACATATATGTAGATTCCCATTTCTTGTTGTAGGGACTTCATCAATGTGATACCATCTCTAGAAAAGAGCAGCTGTAGAACAGCTGGAGTGAGGCTGGCATGATTGACAATTTTCCCTTTCATCAGTTCTTCCAGAGGTCTTCTCAACTCGGCAACAACTTTAGTGGCTGTTGCTGATATTTTCACTCGACAAGAGCCATTGGCATTCCTGTCTAAAGTGCATTCAGTTCCTGTAAATAAAGTTTCCTCATAACAGTTAGCTCCTAGTACATATAAATCATGGTGGTTCCACAACTATTTCACGAAGAATATATCATCATAGTGGTTCCAACTTTGTACTCCATCTTATAAGGGGAAAAAAAACACCCTAATTTGCTAATAAGCACATTTTCCAGCATGCCTTTACCTCTATATCCTCATTCCCTATTCATGCTAACATGGATATAAGATAAGAGAAAAATGAATAAGGGTGAAAAATATCTATGAGCCTAAAAAAATTATAATAAAATAAAATAAATAAAACACTAATAGAGGCTTTCGTCAAGTCAAGTTGGAAAGATGAACTCATGAAAGTCAACACAAAAAAAATTGGTTCTTGATATGAGGCCCCTCGTACAGCATGATAAACCTGAAGTTTGTAATTAAGGTAATTCCTTATTTGAAATTTTAAAAAAACAAGTGAATTTGAGGAAGTGATTGATGAAGTTTAGTCCAGCCAACAAATAATCGAGTAAATAACACTGGGGTGCATAGCAATTTAATATTCATTGTTCATTAGATATATTTCCGACAGCAATTAAGTTTCTGGTCTTTGAAAAATGCTATTTCATTTACTTAAGCAAAAAATTTCAGAGATCTCAGCAGTATCACCATATAGAACTGATGATCAAGAATTCAATGCCAGCCATTTGAAACATTGAAACAGTGAAGAGTTCGATTTAGGCAATAGAAAGGGAATGAGTAGAAAAATATTTTGAGCAGACAAGTGAAGTTTCCATGAATTTACACATACCTCTTTGACGGTCGAATCTTGCCACCAAGGTATGAAGTTCTCTCTTGATTATAGAGTAGACAGCAGAAGAACAACACACTGAAGTGTAAAATAACCGCTGGCATTGTATTTTCTGCCATGATTGAAAACCAGGTAACGCCTTTCCTTCAATCTCTTCTAACGCTCTTGCCGCCTCCAAATGTAACCTTCCATCAAAAGTAATCAAAGCTCTCATAAAAACATTCTTGGGCTCTGGGGAAAGACCTGAACTCTGCAGAAATTAACCTGTGGGGTCCCTTTTGGCATGAATACAGAAATCTCTCTAAAAAGAGCTTCTTCACATGCATGGCATGTTGGATCTTCCACAGCATCTCCCCTGACCAAAAAAAAGTCCATAATTCTTCGATTTGTAGCACTCCTCAATACCTGTAAAATTTCAGGTTCGGAAGCTTCCCGATCAATTCCACTAATCACAACAGAATCAATAGACTTTTCACTACGTTCACATTTTACATATCTTTCTCCAATCCGCAGATTAGAGAACTGTGAAACCAGTAAGTCAGCGTCATGTGCCATGCATATAACAATAGCAAAGCCTCTACTAATTCTACGAGGCCATGACAATTTTGCTTTGACAGCAGGAAATGAAAATGCTCGGTCTATTCCAAATGTTGCCCTTGAAAGATTCACTCTAAGCAAAGAACCATCAAACGTAAAATTGTTCAACTCAGCAACTGCCCTTTTGGCAGCATCAGGCGTCAGAAACGTAATACTGCCCCACTTCTCTTTATCTTCTATCTCTGAACCATGAATTATTGATTTATGGACAGCACATACTCCTGAGGCATGACTTTCAAAAAGCAATAAGAGCTCTTTATCATCAATAGCATTGGCATTGGGATGGAATACATCAGCAGTCAAACATCTTTTATCAAGCTCAAGATGCTTAATTTCAGCTCCAGACCCGAAAAGTGCAACAGGAGGGAATGCACTAGGACCACCATGATACAAACATTTTTCCACGCATTCATTCTGTAATGATCGTCTTTCACGATCCAAAGCAGCCTTAACATGATCTGAAACCTTTTCGATGTCATCTGAAGAAGTATACAACCGAATTTCATCCTTATCACAGTCAACTTCAACGCTTATTCTTTCATCTCCACAGATACTTCGCAGTCGTGATACAAGACAAGTCAGACCATTATTATACTTCCCGCAGAATTTCTTAAGAAGAGTTTTCCCATTGCCATATAATGTCATCACTTGCAGCTTTTGACTTGCAAGTCCAGAAACATCAAATAGAGGAGGGAGAGTAAGATCAGATAAGAGTTCCTGGTTAAATGCAGTCACACACGTCAAATATTGACAAGACACTGATAATAATTCACCAAAGACTACCCAATCAGGCTTATGATTGAACATCAACAGAGAACAGGCAGGATGAAGCTGCACATATTGCCCAGACAATGCCACTTTATAGCCAAGTTGATCACTACCAGAGTACATTGCCACATTTTCAGCAAGGGAAGCAAGAATGGCCATTGTAAGATTCCTGTCATGCTCCGTGACTCGCTCAGGTGTCCAGCCCCAGTAACTTGGTACAATAATACGAAGTTCGCTTTTAAGACAGCTCTCCCATTCACAGATGGCATCATGGCATCTTTGCATTGCTTTGGCATTAATGCTGTTATCCCAACACCACTGATTCCTCTTCTTTCCCACTGGAACATCCTCCCATGCTTTGTAAACAGAGAGCAGCGTAAAGAGATCACCATGAGGGTGACAAAATGACACCTTAAGACGGTCAGACTTCAGCTTATCTGCAAGGTTACCAACTCGACAAAATATACTACTGGCATTTGCCAAAACTGCTGCAAGAACAATACCTTCTTTTTTCAGGCCAAAACTGACACATCCGAGAATTAGC